TGTGTAATGGTTATATCCTTGTTATGTGTTGTTAGCTCTGCAAAAAGGGGATATTATTTTGTAATCTATTATCACATAGCTAATATAAAAATAATATCTAAATAATAGTTAAATATTGTTGATGTAAATCCATAATTACTACTTGTGTATTTGGTCATCTGGAGCTGATTAATGGTGTATATTTTAAAACAATTTCTTATTTATTTAACATACTGGAAGACACAACAAAATACTGACAGAAATATGGAAATGCAGTTTATTGAACATTTATTTATTGATATATAAGAATTAGATATATTTCACCTTGAATATGATAGTTACAAAGAAAATATTGTAAAACTTAATATATAATTGGTAGTATCACTTTGAGTTGTATATATCATGTTACTTTTAACTACTTACTACTTAATGTTTTAATTTATGAATACCATTTAGCTAGTTTTATTTATATTTTTAATTTTAATGCAACATAATATTGTGGTGGCAAGCTTTTATTATGTATTAGATATCTGTGAAAACTTCATTGGTTTTTAGCATTACTTTTATATGTTTTATTGTGTAATTTATTATTGTACTGTATGTTTCCCTTAAAAAGCAAATAAATATATAAATAAAATAAATAAAGTATAGTGTATACATAATCTTATCTCATATCTCTTATTACTGAAAATGTCGTGATTTCTAACAATAATGTCATAATGAATGTGTTTTTTTTTTTGCTTTAAAGTGTTCGAAATGGAAACCAATACAAACATAAACATAGATCTCACATGCTATTTAGATAGCAATAAATATAGAAAAAATAATATATACAATATTTATTAACTTTTTTTAGGTGAATCGCTTACAATAAATTTTTTGTAGGCTGATATCTTGCAGAGCTGCTCGTAGGCAGAGACAAAAAGTATATGGATATTGAATACAACTACAATAGTCATATATCATATCTCATGACATTAAAAATATCCTTGTTATGTTATTATCAAATTATTTTGAAATGATAATGACTTACAATAATAACATCATAAAATACATTTAATTTAAAATTAAATATTTCAATTAAATTAAACATGTGTTTTTGTTATCCTTACACAACCAGTTTAAAGCATCTTTCTTAGTATATAGCATGTAAAGGTAATATTATAAATAGTCATATTATCCGTTATTCATCTTGTCTTTAATCATATTTATTTAATTAATTTAATGGTGTTTGTGATGTATATTCACTAATCAATTAATAACTGTAAAAATGGTCCACACTACGTTTGTTTGTCTGTGCACTATGTAAAGGAAGCGCTAAAAGGATTTTCCATCAATCTTAAAGTACCTATAATTGCTGAATGTCCCCACAACATTCTTTAATACTATTAATTAATAAGCTATTCTATTCTATATACACTATTCTAACTTATAATATCTGTGAAAACTACTAGAAAATCGCTTTATTTTGTTTTAAGGTTATTGTGATATTCATATTTCAATTATTAATTTCTCAGAATTCCCATTAGATGCGATAAAACTAATATCCATTTTGTAATCTATAGATTAAAAGGAATAAATCGATATACATTTCATTAAAATTCTCTGAAATTCGTGGTGGGCCAATTCTCCATACAAAAAAAAATTGTCTCCTTTCTTAACAATTTTGTAGCTTTCATCAATATGGCTCGGCAGTGTGTATCTCTTAGCTTTATAGCTGTGTGTGAGTCGTGGTTTCAAATCCCATAATTTTAATTAAAAAATTTATACAGCCGACTTCAATATAAGCGACTTCAATATAAGATATTTAAGAATAACTCAATAGCCATTGGTCTGAACTTGATCAAATTTTCACCAAGACAGATCAATATATAAACAGATAAAACCGTTTCATAACTAACCTAGCACATAGGCGGAAGGGTACAACCCCCCTCCAAGTCCAGCCTCCAGGAAATGCATTGCCAGATACGTCAAGTAATCTTGAGTAAATGCTCTGGCTATACCGAATACAAAACTTGCACAGGATGCTATACCCACAGCTACTTTCCGACCAAAGCGATCCGAAATGGCGCCCATCACCAACATGGCGGCAAACATGCCGGAGTTGTGGACAGTGCCCACTAGCGCCCGTTTCCATTCTTTACAGCCTAGATCAAACTGGATAAAAATAATATTATATTCTTTTATGATATTGATAAAATCATTTATTAAATTAAGCTAATAAAAAGAAACAATATTAATCGTTACCGTTACAGCCTAACAAATGTCTTTTGCTGAACATAGGTAAACAAGCAAAGAAGGCTACTGATGTGTTGTTACCTCCGGAGACCAAGATGGAATGTTTCACAGCCTGTAATTACACTGGCTTTCTACAAACATATAAAAATTTAAAATTTTGTACAGCCGACTTCAATATAAGTTATTTAAGAATAACTCAATAACCATTGGTCTGACCTTGATCAAATTCATATGGTACTACAAGAAAACTATCAGCTTTCATATAAAAGAAGAATCATTGAAATTGGTTCCCCCAGTACAAAGTTATGAGGTAACAAACATAAAAAAAAACATACACTCGAATTGAGTACCGTCTCCTTTTTGGAAGTCGGCAGATAAGGGACAAGCGGAAACTACCTTGTTTGTTTGAAATACATTTCAAAGTGGTAGAGCCACACTGTAGGTATTTTATGGTTGTAGCAATACTGGATGGCTCAACGGGGAAGGATCGCGCTCGCACAGAACACCAGCATAAAATATCAGCTTAATTATTTTAAAGTACAGAATCGAAGACGGTTTAATTACGCCACTTAACATTAGTTGGTCTGTGTGCTCGCTTGTCACCCTTATTCTATAAAATAAACCACTAGGAGTTTTTGTATTAATCCGGTTTTTTTTTAATTTATAATGTTCCGGGTCTGGATAATTTTTCCTGTGCAGTTAATGTAAAAGAGCCTCCACCACACTCCACGAATAAATAATGCTAGGTAAACGTAACAAAAATAAAATACAAAATAACCAGACCAAGTATCTCAAAAGAATCTGGTGCAGGTATGACAGAAACAAAAATGTAAAGTATTATAATTTTCCTTCAGTCTCCCAGCCCTCATGTGGAAATGAGATGTGACGCACCCGAAACGTCATTAAAAGTTTACAACAAAACACTAAAAAATATGTAAAATGTGTTTTATTCAAACCTATGCATATTTTCTTCATTATTTTTGGGCTGCTTCTGGTTTCTGAGAGAATTTTCGACAAGAAAATTTGCCACGCTGCCTCAATGTATGTTGGTGAACTTAAAATAATGTCAAAGGAATATTATTTTTATTTATTTATTTAATTGAATTTATCTCAGAGATGGTACAGTAAGTAGTTGCATTATAACTTTTAGGACCATTTACATGACTTACCGGTATCGGCGCAGTAATAGTACAATAAATAATATCAACATAAATGTAAAATAACGTCAATAATATAATATTATAAGTTAAATCTAAGAATTATAATAGCACATTTATTAACAAAAGTATAAAGTTTCAATTATTACCAACAGTATAAACATAAATAATTAAATAATAGAAAACATTCAAATTTTTTTATATTAATTTACCACAAGTTTGTACCTAAAATAGCATTCAGCAGTGATATAGCTGCATCTGTGAATCAAATTTGGTTTTCTTTCTCGGGTTACTACAGCTCCATTACAAATAGAAATAATATAATTTGCATTTTAGCATAAATGTTGGATTCTTTTTGGGTTCGTCGGTTTATTTTACATTTTGACTGATATCCAAAATATTTTTTTACCCTATTTCTTTCTATTACCGTTGTACAACTTGCAATCCTTAAATTGATTTACCACAAATGGGTAATCAAAATATATATTTAAAGTACCAACTTGTGATTTTTATGAGTAAGGCCGTTATTTAATTCATTATCATCATTACAGCCCTTCCTAAGTCCACTGCTAAAGATAGGCCTCCCCCAAAGAATGCTAAAAATCACGGTTCTGAGAAAGCACTGTCCATCTAATACTATTGCATGCCTTAAGAGAAAGCGCAAGGTATGTTCTACTATCGCCGAAAAATTAAGATTCCAACGTTTTATCGAATAAAATCGTATCTAGCAATCATATTATACATATACATTATATAAAAAACACATTGTTATAAAGATAAATGATTGTTGAACTTATTAATTTTTTTTTTAGATCGATTAACACTTACGTAACCGGTCGCGCGGATGACATTAGTCATCCACGCTGACTAAATGGCCGGGAATTCTTGATTTTTATATGGCAACACATCGCCGGCGCCCAGTTTAGTATTGCTCATAGTACGCTGCGTGACGTCAGTAACTGCCGTGCACTTGCGTGGTTCGGTTGAGTCAGGATAAGTGCAAATTAGTAGGTGGAGGACACATGTCATCCGCGCGACCGGTTACGTAAGTATTTTGTGACGAACATTTTATAACCTTTTTATCGATTTTGTAATTGTTATGATATATTTATAACACCTTTTATAGTACATAATATTTATTTAATAAAATTAGTAATTTCTTATAGCTATTTTGCTAAAAAAATTGTTTTTAATTTTTATTTTAGAACTAAAATGGCAAACCGAGATCAGCAAATCGAGTTATGGTTATTGGAGGAAGATGAGGACATTTTAGAGGGTACTCCATGTTCTGATGACGAAGAGTCGGATCACCTAGAAGTCCAGGGCGAAAATACGGACTCAGAAGAAGATGGTGACCATGATTTAGGTGAATTTGAGTTGAACCAAACATTTGCTAGTTCCGCAAGCCCCGCACATGTTTTCACGGATGAGGACGAGGTACCACTTTCAAATTTATTTTACCAAGGTGTTGACAATACTAGATGGCTGAAGGAACAAGTTCGTGCTCGACGTTTGATGCGCCAACACAACATCGAACGTGTACAATCAGGTCCTTGAGAAATAGCGAAAACGAAGGCTACTTCTCTAGATTGTTTGTCTCTCTTTCTTGATGATGAAATTGTAGCTATGATAACGGATTCCACAAATAAACGTATACTAATTGAGCAAAATAAATATTCAAGGGATAGAGATGCGAAAATAACTGATGAGTTAGAAATAAAAGGACTAATGGGCATTTTATATCTCTGTGGGAGTGTAAAATCTGGAAGGGAAAATATCTTGCAGTTGTTTGACGCTAAGAAAGGGACCGGGATGGAAGCTGTTTATCTTACAATGAATGTACAAAGGTTCAAGTTTTTGATGAGAAACCTTCGTTTTGATGATCCTACAACGAGAGCGCAAAGGATAATGGTTGACAAGTTGGCACCTATTCGTGATTTATTTCAGAAAATTGTCAAAAATTTTCAAAAACATTATACACCAAGTTCTGAACTGACTTTAGACGAACAATTGATAGCGTACAGAGGCAGGTGCCGATTTCGGCAATACATTCCCAACAAGCCAGCGAAATATGGGATCAAAATATTTGCCCTGGTCGATTGTGAACGTCCATACACATACAATTTGGAAATATATGGAGGCAGTAACCCCGGTCCCTTCGAAATAAGCAATAATCGGTTTGACGTAGTTCTGAGAGTCACTGAACCTATTCATGGTGAAAATAGAAACGTAACAATGGACAACTGGTTTACTTCTCTCGAAGCAGCTAAGAAGCTTTTTGAAAATAAAACCACTGTCGTTGGTACAATTAGAAAGGATAAAAGAGAGGTACCGAAGGCATTCCGAACAACTACAAACAGAACTGAATTTTCGTCTTTGTTTGGTTTTCATGAAAACACTACCTTAGTTTCATATGTGCCAAAAAAGAATAAGGCTGTATTACTTTTGTCAACTGTACATAATGATGGTTGTATTGACGAGAGTTCTGGTGACAAACGTAAACCAGATATTATTACATATTATAATCGAACAAAGAATGGGGTAGACCTAGTGGACAAAATGTGTTCCTTGTATGATGTGGCCAGAAACTCACGGCGATGGCCGCTGGCGGTTTTTTTTAATTTGATGAATATAAGTGCCATAAATGCTTTATGCATATACAAAGCAAACAATGGACTAATAAAAGTATTACGTCGAGAGTTTCTTTCTGATATTGCGTTGGGTATGATGAAACCTTTGGCTAGTAGAAGAATGAGTACTGATTGTTTACCGAAGATCCTCAAGCTTAAAATAAGCGATTTTTTGGGTATTCCATTAGACGAACAACCACAAAAAGTGGCGAGTTCTCCTCGTGGAGGCGCGCGTGGTCGCTGCTTTTTGTGTGGAAGAAAACGTAATAAAACCACGCGTATATCATGCCAATTATGTGGGAAATTTACTTGTCCCGACCATTGCAATTATATGTGCAATAGTTGTTATGAAAATCATACCTAAGAATATTTTTAGTCTCTCATAATTATAGCTAATATCAAAAGTTGATCTCAGAAGCAAAGAAATTATAGTTACTCGTTCGTAAGTTCCTAATTTTAATTAAAACCCTTCTTTTTTATTCATTTTTGTTTAGTTATGTAGGTGATATTATGTCAGTTACTTTCAATAAAAATATGCACCCAAAATATTGGTATTATTATTATAAATTATCATTGGCAAATGGATGACACACGTCATCCGCGCGACCTCTTATGATATATTTATATGCGCGACCGCTCTAGGGTTAATTGCCATTTTTAAATAAAAAAGGGCTTATGGTGTGGATTTATCATGTCCCCAAGGATTGTAAACACTATAACTTTTGAAAATATCAATTGTTTAACTCAATCTATTTTTTTAATCTCTTCATCTATCATGTGGGAAGCCACTGAATGTAAATGGCATTGTAATTTTGTTTTCATTGGCTATAATTAATTTTTATCGGCTCCAAAATGGCGAAATTTTCGTTGATTTGGTAGCCTTGTATGTAAATTATTGAACATTGTTTCGGTTGTTTGCAGCGGCTTAAAAAGATCGCTATACAAATACGCAATATTCGAATAACCAAATTTCTTAAATATGTGATTATAATAATAATAAGAGATTTTTTTTTACAATATTTTAAAAGCACAGAATAAATAATAGTAGTACGTACTAAAAGTAAGTAGTATCAATTTTTTTATCATTAGTGACATTTTCATGGCTTTCGAGGGTGTTGAAACCGATAGGGTTGTCGAAATGTAAATCCAAGATGGCGGCCAAAATAGCTATCAATTTTTTCATCATGGGTGTCATTTTCATGGTTTTCGAGGGTGCTGAAGCCGATAGTGCAGTCGAAATGTAAATCCAAGGTAGTGGCTGCAACAGGTATAAATTTATTCATCATGGGTGTCATTTTCATGGTTTTCGAGGGTGTTGAAGCCGATAGTGCTGTCGAAATGTAAATCCAAGGTGGCGGCTGCAATAGGTATCAGTTTTTTCATCATGAGTGTCATTTTCATGGGTTTCAAGGGTGATGAAGCCGATAGGGTTGTCGAAATGTAAATCCAAGATGGCGGCCAAAATAGCTATCAATTTTTTCATCATGGGTGTCATTTTCATGGTTTTCGAGGGTGCTGAAGCCGATAGTGCAGTCGAAATGTAAATCCAAGGTAGTGGCTGCAACAGGTATAAATTTATTCATCATGGGTGTCATTTTCATGGTTTTCGAGGGTGTTGAAGCCGATAGTGCTGTCGAAATGTAAATCCAAGGTGGCGGCTGCAATAGGTATCAGTTTTTTCATCATGAGTTTCATTTTCATGGGTTTCGAGGGTGATGAAAACGATAGGGTTGTCGGAAAGTAATTCCAAGATGGCGGCTGCAATAGATATCAATTTTTTTATCATGGGTGTCATTCTCATGGATGTCGCGGGTGTTGAAGCCGATAGCGCTGTCGAAATGTAAATCCAAGATGGCGGCTGAAGTAGGTAACAATTTTTTCATCTTAGGTGTCATATTCATGGTTTTCGAGAGTGTTGAAGCGGATAGTGCTGTCGAAATGTAAATCCAAGACGGCGGCTGAAGTAGGTACAATTTTTTTTATCATGGGTGTCATTTTCATGGTTTTCGAGAAAATTGAAGCCGATAGGGTTGTCGGAAAGTAATTCCAAGATGGCGGCTGCAATAGATATTAATTTTTTCATCACGGGTGTCATTCTCATGGATTTCGCGGGTGTTAAAGCCGATAGTGCTGTCGAAATGTAAGTCCAAGATGGCGGCTGCAATAGATATTAATTTTTTCATCACGGGTGTCATTCTCATGGATTTCGCGGGTGTTAAAGCCGATAGTGTTGTCGAAATGTAAGTCCAAGATGGCGGCTGCAATAGGTATCAATTTTTTCATCATGGGTGTCATTTTCATGGTTTTCGAGGGTGTTGAAACAGATGGTGCTGTCGAAATGTAAATCCAGAATGGCGGCTGAATTAGGTACCAATTTTTTCATCATGGGTGTCATTTTGATAGTTTTCGAGGGTACTGAAGCCGATAATGCTGTCGAAATGTAAATCCAAGGTGGCGGCTGCAATAGGTATCAGTTTTTTCATCATGAGTGTCATTTTCATGGGTTTCGAGGGTGATGAAAACGATAGGGTTGTCGGAAAGTAATTCCAAGATGGCGGCTGCAATAGATATCAATTTTTTGGCTGCAATAGATATCAATTTTTTATCTTGGGTGTCACTTTTGTGGGTTTCGAGGGTACTGAAGCCGATAATGGTGTCGAAATGTAAATCCAAGGTGGCGACAGCAATAGGTATAAATTTATTCATCACGGGTGTCATTGTCATGGTTTTCGAGGGCGTTGAAGCCGATAGTGCTGTCGAAATGTAAATCCAGGATGGCGGCTGAATTAGGTACCAATTTTTTCATCATGGGTGTCATTTTCATGGTTTTTGCGCGTGTTGAAGCCGATACTGCTGTGGAAATGTAAATTCAAGATGGCGGCTACAATATATATCAATTTTTTCATCTTCGATTAATCGATAGCGCTGTCAAAATGTAATTCCAAGGAGGCGACTGCAATAGGTATAAATTTATTCATCATGGGTGTCATTTTCATGGTTTTCGAGGGTGTTGAAGCCGATAGTGCTGTCTAAACGTAAATTCAAGGTGGCGGCTGCAATGGGTATCAATTTTTTCATCATGAGTGTCATTCGTATGGTTTTCGCCGGTGTTGAAGCCGATAGTGCTCTCGAAATGTAATTCCAAGATGGCGGCTGAATTAGGTACCAAATTTTTCATCATGGGTGTCATTTTCATAGTTTTCTAGAGTGTTGAAGCCGATAGTGCTGTCGAAATGTAAATCCAAGGTGGCGGTTGCAATAAGTATCAGTTTTTTTCATCGTGAGTGTCATTTTCATGGGTTTCAAGGGTGTTGAAGCCGATAGCGCTGTCTAAATGTAAATCCAGGATGGCAGCTGAAGTACGTACCAATTTTTTCATCATGGGTATCATTTTCATGGTTTTCGAGGGTGTTGTAGCCGAAACTTTGAAAGTTGAAGAATATGGGTTGAGAATGGGTGAGTCAAACGTCAAATGCCTTTTGTACGCCGATGATCAAGTCATATTTGCATCGTCGGCGGCCGAGTTGCAAATGATGGTTACTTTAATGAATTGGTCATTGAAAGAAAGGGGTATGAAAGTGAACGCAAGTAAGACGAAAGTGATGGTTTTTGAAAGAGAAGAAAGTAATTCTTTATGTGAAATAAGAATAGAAGGGGAGTTGTTTGAGCAAGTGGATGAGTTTGTATATTTGGGATGTTTATTTAGCAGGGATGGTAGATATGACAAGTATATAGAACGACGAGTGAACGCAGGAAATAGAGTGAATTGCGCTCTACACGCTATTATGAGGAGTCAGAATGTGTCAACTAAGGCACGTATGGCAATTCATAATGCTGTGTTAGTCCCTACTTTAATGTATGGTAGTGAAGGTTGGGTCTGGCAGAAGAAGCATGAGAGTAGAATAAATGCTGTAGAAATGCGGTCCTTAAGGAGTATGCTAGGGCTGAATCTGAATGACACGGTGAGAAATAGTGTGATAAGATAAAAGTGTGGTTTGCAAGATGACGTTATGACAAGGATTAAGAAAGGAATGCTTCGGTGGTTTGGTCATGTAGAAAGAATGAACGAGGAAAGAGTGACAAAGCAAATTTATGTTGCAGAAGTGAACGGAAGGGTCGGGAAGGGACGCCCTAGACGAAGGTTTATCGACCAAATTGGCGATACATTAAAAATGGGTCAGATTAGGAGTACCCTTAACCGACGAGCGTGTATGCGTAGATATATGGATGTAAAAGAGGCGAGAGAGGTGTGTCAGGATCGCGCCAAATGGAAGTCCGTAGTCTCTGCCTACCCCTCTGGGTGACAGGCGTGAGTGTTTATGTTATGTTATGTTATGTTTGTAGCCGATAGTGCTGTCGAAATGTAAATCCAAGGTGGCGGCTGCAATAAGTATCAGTTTTTTCATCATGAGTGCCATTTTCATGGGTTTCGAGGGTGTTGAAGCCGATAGTTAATTAAGTTAATTCTCCGACAGTGAAACATAACACAAACACAAAACAGGTTTCATCATTTGTCCTATATGATACTGATTGTGCTGAAATATGTGAAGTTATTAAGTCTATGAAACTAAGTAGTTCCCCGGGATGGAATATTATCCCAATTTCTTTTCTAAGACTCGCTCTAAATGAAATTGCTCCAATTATTTCCCATACAGCCAACTTGTGTTTCGAACAGGGAATTTTTCCAACTGTACTCTAGGAAGCTTTAGTAACACCTATATATAAGGATGGCAGCAAAAGTGACCCCTGTAACTACCGACCAATCTCTGTTCTCTCATCAGCGTCTAAGCTTCTAGAAAAATTAATTAATATTAGACTCACAAAATTCTTGACAAAATATAGCATCATAGCAAAATTCAATTTGGTTTTCAACGAGACTGATCGACTGAAAATGCTGTACAGGCTCTTACAACGCTAGTAGTAAAAGAAGTGGATTCTGGGAACAAATGTTTGGGAGTAATGCTCGATCTAAAGAAGGCATTCAACACAGTGTCGGTGCCCATCCTGTTAAATAGACTAGAGGAAGTAGGGGTGTGAGGTACTCCTCTTAAATTATTCAAAGATTACCTTACTAACCGAAAGCAGCGTGTTCGAATAGGCAACCACACTAGCAAGGAAGCCACTTTAACTTTCGGTGTCCCACAGGGGAGCGTGCTGGAACCAACGCTTTTCCTGGTGTATATAAATAATCTCTGTCTTCTAAAACTATCCAATGGTACTGTATTTTCTTACGCAGAGGATACAGCTATCGTGTTCTCTGGCAAATCCTGGTGTGAAGTTAAACTATCGGCAGAAAACGCCCTGGCAAAGATAGCATCCTGGTTGGACACAAGCCTCCTTACCTTAAATGCAGCTAAGACTCAA